AATTTCATTATTTCTTTATTCAATTGCAATAAATTTGACATATTGATAGTATTTTTTTTGTACTTTGCATGTTTTTCTATATATGTTTGTTTGTTACATAGCATAGGTATGTAATTAAATATCATGTAAAATAAAAAGAATATGTAGTTTTTCTCTAAAATGTTTGTTTATAATATAAACCCATGGATACATTTTTAATACAATATCCTGAACGAATATAGTTAACATTAGATAACATCACTTATACTGCTCAGATCTCTTAAAGCTCTTGTGTTATGGAACTTTGAAACAACAAAGGCACCACAACACTCAGATCCAAGATAGTATAGATATGTTTGTTTTCCATATTGACCTGACCAGGAATCAAACCCAGGGCCTCATCCAACACCTTGAAATTGGCGTGAAGGCCATTAGGCTACGGAGGTTGGTGGGCTTGTAATATTTATATGTCAGATGACATGAATTTTTGAAATTGGATTGGTAGATAACATATTTACTGTTATACCCAAAATCACAAAGAAATCTGATCTACAATTTACAATACTCGGTATAATACGTACAGCGATCTTTTTGCCGTTAAAAACAACAAAATAAACGTTCTTACAAACAGAGATACTCTTCAGAATCACATTTCTAGAATCGGTTTGAAATAAAACAGAAGTTTTTAACAGCAGAAAGTGTCGTATTGCAGTCCCCGGACACTGCCATAGAGATATCTCGAAGAAATATCAGTAATTTCGTTGTTCGACCACAAACAACACTTTGTTGTTAGAAGATAATGCTATAGTAAAACTTTTGAGATAACGCTCTTTTGTTTTGTCAAAATTTTATATCACAAAACTGAACATTTTCTTATGTAAAATTTTCTCATATGTATATATATGTGTATATGATTTAAGCTGCATATTTCGGGAACGATTTGTATTAATAACTTCAGCCTCTGGCAGTGGCGTAGTGTGCCTTAGCGGGGCCCCGTACAATTCAAATTAAATATTAATTCTCCTTGCCTTTTTTGGTAAACTGATTTATGTATTTAATCATTTATAGTTGATGATGTCTTAAGTTTTTCCAGTTTCTGTCTCTATGGACAATAGTGACAGGTCTGATAGGCGTTTATGTCTCATCGTAGTTCTTGGATAATCTAAAAAAGAAATAGTTTTTTTGATTTTGTCATTTCTCAAATGAAAAAGAAGTTGGAAAGATTTAATTAATGTTTGTTTACTCACGTTGGGGTCCCCCGTGGCCAGAGGGGGCCTCAAAATTGAAACGGCATATACCTACGACCTTGATCTCTAGTGTTCCGCGGTCAATTCCCGGTCGGGTATTGTGGTACTTTCGTTGTTTCAGAAGCAGTTGTGTTTCAATGGACATAATACTGTATTACTTAAACTGCTTTAGTTACTTAATTTGCGAACCGATAGGTCCGACCAAAAAGATAATAAAGGTTTATATGTATAATACAGGACTACGCGGATGAAGCCGCTGACAGAAACCTAATAAAATTATAAAAACTAAAAGTACATAAAGTACTTTTATCTGATTATCTGAAAATCTGATTTATCTGAAAATCTCTACAAAAAGCAAGTTACGTTCGGAGCTTGTCTTATCCTTATAAATGGATACGATATTAAAGAGCTTTGGGACCAACATGTAACATGACATGAAAAGTCGATGCTATAATATACAGAATCACAAACGCCACAAAAATACTCTTAACGCCACAAAATGTTAGAATGGTGATAATTATTGTATGTTAGTTATTTCATGGTGTAGTTGGCTACAACCTCTTTAGAATCGAGCGATGACAGTAGATATCTACTATATACCTACAGCTCTGAACAATGTTAATTTTTTGGACTTAGTACGAATCAATTTTTTGGTGTTGCTCAACAGATACGGAAATAAAATATTTTTTACTGAAATATTCCAGAGAGAGAGAGAGAGGGAGATTGATAAATTGTCACTGCGCGACAAAGATGCACGATGCCATAGGTGGATACTCTGATATATTTCACAATAGGCATGACGACTAGGTAAAAAAAAAATGTTTCTATTTAGTTCGTTAGTCAGACAATAGAAAAATATTAGATACGTATTTTTTTTGCTTTAAATTAAATGAGAAATGGCTTAGATAATAGGCATTAAAGTTGAGGAGTGGGGGCTCGCTACGTCACAGTTTTGTAAAAAAAAGGTACAAAAGCGTGACATCATGTGACATTTCAACTAAATGTATGGCCGTAATTTAATGATTACGCAAAAAATAAAAAAATACGTTTTTAATATTCTTCAATAATCTATCTGATTTGTCCATCAGGTAAAAATAATTTATAAGTAAAAAAAAATTAAACATAACAAAAAGTCGTAATCCGTATTAAAATAATTATTTGCTCAACTTAATGAAATTCAAAATCTTAATATTTAAAAATTCTTTACCCACGTCATTTTTTCTTATCGAATATTTTTCAATTATAAAGACAATGCATTAACAACATAAATTAACCAATACTGCTCTCTCTATAAACGTCACTTTATATCTTATTGAGATGAAGGTAATTAAGTGGGTGGCCATTACTTAAATTTAATGGTTATTATTTATTAAACTGATTGTCCATATTTGGTTTATTACGGGCTTTTGCACAGCCTACACTTTTGTAATTAATCAACTTTTGATTGTATTCCGAAATTAATTGCTAACCATTCCCTTAAATTGAAATCTCTTTTACCAGTTAATAGCCAATCAAAGGTAATCGCAGCTTTTGTTTCAGGCCCTTTATGTAAATTTGTGTTTTATCGAGATTTATCCCACGATTAACACGTTTTGATTATCATGTTATTTTCATTAACATAATCATTAAACTTGAAAATATTATAATAACAATAAGCGACCACTTTTGGAACGAAAGCCATAAGAACATAATCTGGTACAGGGATGCGATTTTGGGTTGCGTATTTGGAATATGTATTGAATTTCTTGGAATGAGAACACATAAAAATTTCGGTTGATCTATGCATCTAAACTTAATAGGATTATTTGTCTGAACTGGGTTAAGTTAATAGTTATTTATTTAAGTACGAGTAATTGCTAAATAAAATAATGAATAGTTATATGAAATTGTGTTTTCGATTTACCTATACATCAGATATTTAGTATTACCCACACGTAATTAAAATCGTGAAACTCCTATAATCAGACTAAGCCCGTGTAAATTCGTTACTAGCTCTTTTCCACGACGTAATTTTCAAATGGGAATACATGAACATTTAAAATTTAATTGATCTCTTTAATCATAAGAGATTTTTTATTTTTTCGTATTGTTATTTTATACATACATTATTGAATATAAGATTATTATTCTAAGTTGAAATTTATAACCGCATTTGCATACTTTCACATTAGATTTTTAAATAAGATCGCCGTTTCATTACCAATTCGGACTTTTTTTTCATCTATGTTCTCAATGAAATTATATATTACTAACTTTCGCCAGCAGCTTCGCCCGTTTGGTCCCTAGGGAAATGTTTAGCGGGATAAAAAGTATCCTAATATCTAAGTCAGCTAATACCCTATCTGTATAGCAAATTTCATCAAAATCCGTTCATTAGTTTCGGCGTGATTGACCGACAAACATCCAAACAAAGAAACTTTCACATTTATAATATTAATAGGATTGCATTTAGCATAATAAAAATATATATATAAAACCTTATCACGCGGACGTAACAGAACTAGTATAGTATAATTAAGTAGATATTTTACTCGGTGAGCGCGCTTTACATGTTGTCAGTTATGCTGGGAAATTACTCGTTTATCATAACACCTTGTAATCTGCCATCACCCCAAGCTATCTCGGGTGAAAATAATAATTTTGAAATTAAATTTTCTTCATATTGCGATCATCTGAGAGATTAAAGCCGAACACATACATGTGACGGTATAATGTTGTTATATTGGCGTTTTATTAAACGACACGCTTAATAATTACTTGATGGGGCAAACATTTACTGTTAATATATTTAACGAGATAGATATTAAATCAGGGTATTTTGTTTGTGTCAGTTAAGTGTCATTTGAATTTATTGACGAAAGTAAAGGATTCGCTATAAAACTTTTAAATAATCTTCTTCATTGCAGGTAATGATGACCAATGAATTTATAGTTCTCTTTGAATACTCATATCTATACTTTAACTGTGAGTTAGACAAAGGTTGGCACTAGGCTTGTCAGTATTGGAATATCTGCATCTTTAATGGATTAAATAAATTTCAACTATAACATTTACGTATTACCGTATCTAAATAAAATTTATCGATGGAGTTAAACAAAGAAAAATAAAAATAAGAGTGTAGTAAATAAAAACATAAAAATATATCTCTTAAGTAAAGAAAATTAATATTCTACAATCTCTAATATTGAAAATCCGCCCTCTTGAATAAAGTTGTAGAGTTAGACGTTAATTAGAGGGAAGTCAAGGGTTTGTGTACTAAATGCTTGAAGCGATTTTGGTCGACGGGTACGCTATTTACTCTTATAGGTATGTACATAATATTTTATGGCTACATGCCACTAATAGTCCATATAATCATATTCCGTGATTAGTACGAAAACCATTTTGTATAATTAATACTTTATTCCAACAGTGTAATGAAACAATTGAAACTTGGTAATATTGTATATTCAAGTTATACATCTCAAGTCGATGTTAATCAACATTGTGGCATGAAAACAATTATGAAACATCTAGACTTGCACATCGTGATGGTGGTAAAAGCTATGCGTCTTGTTTAATTAAAGCTGGTAAGAAGTAATACAAAAGGGTGGTGCTGCGTTGAGCCGTGATTGTTAGGAGGGCTTGCGAGGCGCGGGACGCGAGTCGTGGTGTAGCGGGGGCGGGGGCGGGGCAGGGGCGGGGCGGGGTGCAGGGCGGCAGTCACCGCCGCGTCGCGCCCGGGCCGCCCGCCCCGTACCGAGCTTACGTAACGATGGCCGAGTCCGCGAGCTGATGGCCACGTTCGTCTGGTGGCTGGCGGCCTGCTGCCTGCTCCACGCCGCCACCGCCGGCAACCCTGACGCTAAGCGGCTCTACGATGACCTTTTATCTAACTACAACAAGCTGGTGCGACCGGTCGTCAACACTACCGACGTGCTACGTGTCTGCATCAAGCTCAAGCTCAGTCAGCTCATCGATGTCGTAAGTGTTGCTTTCTCCAGCGGGCCCTTACCGACTGACCTACATCGCGCTCGCTGCTGCACCGAGGACGCATACCTTCGCCCATTGCACTTGCGCGCCGCATTTGGAATTTAAATAGACACGAATCGCATCAACGCTTCCGGCAACTGAGGCGACCCAGTTTTTTGTGAAACGTTTGAGTTTTACAGAGATCTTATAACTGTACGAATACCTATATTTGTAACTGTCGTTCTGGCGCGATCCCGATATCGCAATCCGCGCCACGCCAGGCGCCGCGCTGTCTCCTTATGTATTTCAAATCAGGCCCCATAAATCACCCTTACACAAGGGAATCCCATCTTGTAATATTTATTCATACGTTTCTCTTTGGTATATAGTTATTTCACAGAAAACTACATTTCGGCCTAGTTGTGTAAAACTTCTACGTTTACTTTTATTATGGAAGCGGGTTTGATTTACGGTGTCTTAAACTTGAGAGAGGGTATATCTAAATAGATACATAAAATAACAGTTTTTATACCTTTAAAAAGTCTTGACTTGTTTCCACAAGGAATACAATAAAAAATTATAAACTTAGCATTTTTTTATTATTTACTTGTTATGGAAATTCACATGATTCATATCATAATAAGACTGTTATAAACACGTAAATAATAATACATCATCTCAATCATTAGGTAAAAAAATACGATACAATAAAGGGCATTATAGCTGTTGGCTCCACATAAAAAAATAAAAATGCAGCTGACCAAACAGACATTATCGCCGGAGCTAAAGCTCCATTTGAATCCGCTCTGTGGGCAACAATCCCTTTTAATTTTAAATAATCTACAGTTGTGTTTACGATGAACCATTTCAATTTTGTTTTGATGATAATAACCGATTTACGTTTGGAGAACGTCGATAATCTATCACATGATCATATTACAAAGCGTTAAATTATTTTCTCTACCTTTTTTAGTTATTTTATTACTATTTACTACTAAGCATTGTGTATTTGTTACTATGTATATATACCAGAAAACATATATGTATTATCGATGATGTATTATGTTGATATGCAAATGTTCAGGTATCCATTTTATCAAATAAATCAGCTTATCAAAATCGGGTAGTTTATGTCAATGATTAACATTTGATGAAAGCGAAAACTCATCGTCATCACCAATAAGAATATCCCCACTGCTGTGGCTCAGGCCTTCCCTATGAATGAAATCGAATATAATCGAATAGGGGGGAATGGTTCATGACTCACGACGTGCTTTCACACGAAGGGACACGTTGCAGGAACACGGAGGAGTTCGAGATAATAAATTTTGGCCACCCTTACTATAATAAGCCCTTGCGAAAGTTGCTTAACGATTGTATCGCAGACCGACCACACTAACCACTGCGCTCCACAAAACCAAAAATACTATAATAGGTACTTTATTCTGGTACCAAATAATAATGACATCAAAAAAATCTCAATCAATCAATTCATTTTTTATAGTTTTCTTATTTTCTATTTTATTCTACTAGTCAGAATTATTTCTAATAGATAAAAAATTGTTAACTTCTTATCTCCCCCTGCCTTTGTACTATTTGAACATTTGGAATACAATATTCTTTTGCCAAATATAAAGACTAAGATCAGACTGTGAAATTGATTACACGAGGTTTATTGAACGAAATATTATACATTTTACACTACACTATTATACATATCCAGACCAGATTAGTCTTGTGTCTGCTCGGTCATCTAAAAGAGCGCTCCGTGCTAGAACATTTCGTTCAGTGATCTAATTCGGTCTAATAATTCTATTAGTTCTAATCTGCAGGCAATTATAGACAGAATAGAACTAAAACTCGTTTGGAACTATTTAAACGTACGCTCGAGCGTTACATTTTATAGGGGTGACTATTTATTTTTGTTTGTCCGTCAGATAGATTATTGAAGAAAATGAAATACTATTTTTTTGCGTAATCACAAAATTTCGGCGATACATGTAGTTACAATATTATAGGACATCACGGTTTTGTACGTTTCCTAACCATACATCGTTCATGAACTACACAAGACTGGACCAGATGTAACCAAACGATCCATAACCACGACCGCTCCGCCAGGAGTGTACAATTGAGAAGAAGAATTATACATGTAAAAGCACTATTAATATTATAATAAAATTTAAATTAGACTAAAATATCTACGTTATTCCATATAAGTAATATTATGATTCGATCCACAGTTACATTCAAATTCAAGACACGTGACCCCGTTTGTAAAATCACCATATGAAAATTGCTTTGTATTCTCTCTTTAGTCTCTTAGTACTCCCTTTTGGAGGGCCCTATTCTGGAGTTTAGTTGTATTTAGCCTTCATAATTCTTTATCAATTGTATGATGTAATACATTATATATTATTATGTTCCAAAAGTTATCTTCATCGATTGATGGAACATGAGAGAATAGGCTACCACGCTTATTAGTATTATTTGGTTCCTTTAGTATTATTTCGTTCCTATTGTAATACAATATATTGAATTCTAACGTGTTATTATGCAGTCGTTTTAATTAAAATCGCAGTAAAGCGAAAATAAACTCTGTTTAAGACCGTTCCTATTAGAATATATAAAAAATCTTTAACCATGCTGGTTTTTAAGAAGTCAGTATAACGTTTTTGCTCACCTCTTACCATCAAAATAGTGGTTGTTTATTTTCATCTTCATATTTGTAGGTTAGATTAAAAATCCACTTCGTCCTTAGCACTCTGAGATGGGACTTGAACCCATTACCTTTCACAATCCGAGCGACTGCTCTAACCACTGAGGACCTAACAGGACTGGCGAATTTTCAAGCACTTGTAATTTTTTCGTTACTACAGAGATAACTTTCATTAAGGTTCAGGAAATCCATCTAAACAGCCAAAATAACTTTTTTACAAATATTTAAACTTTTCATAAAGTTGAAAATTTGTTCTAATTATTATATTTAATCAATTTTGCATTCACAATGCTGTACTGAAAAATATTCTTCATGAAAAATGCTTTAACGATCCACTTCGTCCCTGGCACTTTGGGGGTTGGTCTCACCACTAGGCTAGTAGGTCGTCATTATCGCATCTCGATTGAATGCAGCGTATCTCTAATTTTGAACTTTTACGAGATCGCCTTTTACGGTTGTTTGATTTTATACGCTTCCGTTTATATCTCTCGTCAACTCCGCTGAGTAAGGAAATCCGTCGTTCTGCTCCTTATTCCGTATTGTGTGGAACGTTTTACAGTACAAGTTTACTGGATAATGACAATGTTACCTCTTTTATTAACAATTTGTTTGAGTATAATAAAAAAACTAATAAGAATACCTATTTATTGTTTTTTTTTTTCTATTTATTTGAAATAATAATGCGCAGTGGTTAGAGCGCTCAGTCTGCGATACGGTTGTTTGCAACTTTCGCAATGGTCGGTCATAGGATGCGTGAACAAAACATTATTATCTTGAGCTTCTCCGTGCTTAGTAAGGCACGTTAAATCGTTGGTTCTGGCTACATTCGTTAACGTTAACACCCACCAATCCGCACTAGCCTCTCGTGGCGGTCATGGTCCATTCTTTCTATTCGATTCCATTCATAGAGAAGTGGGGATATTAATAGGCTGGTGATGGTGATGAATTTACACAAAGCAAAACGTTATAAAGGTTTTATTTCATAATAGATTTTATGTTACGCATAGGCAGGACTCAGTTTCATACATTTGCTAGATATGCAGGAGACTGGGCTTATGTAATCAACCCCATACTGAATGTATAAAATCCCTTGGGGTAGTAGTAATATGAATCCAGCTTTAAGCTTTTCACTCATAATTATCGCAACGGTTTTCACTGTTTAAAAAAGGGGAAAAATCGACAAAAATGAACAAAATATTATGAGACGTATTTTATTTAGTCATCTGCGGAGTCTCATATATTGGATGATTAAATCTTAATGAATGTCATTTGTATTCCCGAGGATTTTTATTTCAATGTATGTGGTGGTTATATCACGAACAGGGAATTCATTCAGTCACTACGTAAGCTATTGATCGTATTGTCCAGTCTATTCTAAGCCTACTCAGTATAATGGCTTGCCCTGGATGTCCTAACCAACTTTTAACTGAAAGGAAATACAACTTTACCCATAGGAATTCCAGACAAAAATAGAACAGCATAGGCTATTATTATTTGTTCGTTTTGCAAACAAATAAGACTAAAACCCTTGAATTGCTTCAATGGTTTATTTAGATACTAATTTTAATTTAGTCCAATGTCTAAACAATATGTTACTTATCCAATTTCTGTTTACTTTTAATACATACATAAAAATATACATTTTAGCACCATGCATAACACTTATTTACGTGGGTATTTAAGTAGACATTATTCAAATATAACTTATATCTAATAGCAGTGAAGTTACAACATACAATATGTTAATAGCGAGTCACCTAACGGCTTTTGATAGATGTATATTTGATAGATTTGTATAAAATTCGATTGGGATTATACATATAAAATGTTTCAAGAAGTTGTAAAATATTATACTTACAAAAGTCAAAAGTCAAAAGTCAAAATAATCTTTATTCAAATAGACTTCTTAAAAGTACTTTTGAATCGTCCAACATTTTTTCCCTACCACTCGTTCAGGACGTCTTTTGGCTGATAAGAAGAACGAGCAAGAAACTCACCAGCTCTAATATGAGTAATGATATTTACAAAAACCATGTCATTACCAGATCAATACATTATAAACAGAGATAAAAAAAACTATAGTCTTATAATAATAACATAATCATTTAATAATAATGGAAACAAGATAATGAGTTTAGAAGTAATCACCTATCCAGTTGCTGGATCATCTCAAGTCCAAGCGTTCTTATCTGTTACATAATCGGATACCTTATAATAAGCTTTTTCAATAAGTATTTTTTTAATAGTAGATTTAAACTGCATGATATCTAATTGTTGTATTTTGCTTGGGACCTTATTG